TATTGCTCCTGTCCATGTCAAACCTCGAGACTTGTATGATATGGGCGAAGATATCATGACAACCACTGAACTATTTCCATCACAAAACTTGGACCAAATTTTAGATGATGACACAATAGCTCTACAGTTATCAAGACCTGCCACAGATGATGACACTCCACATTTGATAGCTAATCAAAATGAGGATGGAGCTATTGGACATATAATAATTTTCCTATTCGGTTTTTAATATATGCCCTCTTTCATGGGTGTGTCATGGTTTGTTTTTTGGGTGGTGTTTTGTCTATGGTTGTGTCATGTATTGTTTTTTGTCAAGTGGTGATTTGTCTATTCAGCAATTGTAAGTCATTCAGATTCATGTTTGCTTTTTTTGGTTCAGACATAATGGGTTGTAATTCAGTTTTATGTTGGCATGTTATATGTTGGATTTATGTTGATTAGGTAACATGGTACGAACAAAGAGATTTACAGCAAGAAAAACTTCAACAAGCTCTTCTACTCTATGTCCTTTTTTTTATACTAACAAATATCACTAAATATTATATAATATAGATGATAGAGGAAGAGTTTCCGAGGAAAGATTAAGGATGAAGGATGTTTTGGTACTCCCAGATCACAAAAAAGTGATTGTGCCATGGAATGAGACCGATCAGCCTATTGAGGATGCTTCTTCACTTCTGCATGGTGTTTTAGGACATCTAGCTTGTAATGTCAATCTTTTCCCCGTATCTTATGAACGATGGCCTGATGTACCTCCCATTTATAAGGAAGAAATTTGGAAACTGATTGAGGTATAGATGCTCTTTCAACTTCCTTTTAGTATGCTTAAGTATGCTTAAATTATTGTGAAATGATATTTTGTAATTTTCACATTGCAGAGCAAGTTTGCACTTTCAACTGATCAACAAAGGGCATATTGTATGGGAAATATGGGTAAAAAGTGGAAGGACAATAGGTACAGGTTGTGTGCTGAGTTTTACAATAAAATTGCAAGTTTGGACCAAAACATAGACAATTATCCTGATGGCATGACTAGAGAGCAGTGGGCTGGTTTCCTGGCCTATAAGAAAAGTGACAAAGCAAAGGTAATGACATTAGCATGCATAAATTTGCTTAATATGATTTACTTAACCTAAAATCCTGCATGTGAAATGTGTGATAATGCAGAAATATAGTGAGATTAATACAAAAAATAGAGCAAAGCAGACCATAATGCATACACTTGGTTCCAAATCAATTGCAAAGACAAAACACGAATTGGTATTTACGTTAATTCGATTTTATTATCTATATTTGCTGCACTTTGAATTTAACTAACATTTAGCATGTTGCCATTGCTTTAGGAAAAAAAATATGGATGCAAAATTAGTAGGGGGGAGATGTTTGGCATTGCACATACAAAAAAAGATGGTAACTTTGTTAGTGACGAAGCTAGATTGAAGAATGTAAGTATTTTCTTTGTGAATTAACTCTTTGTATACATACTATTGGGCATCATGTTTGGTTTTGTGTTGTAGGATGAATTACTGGAAGATTTGGAGGATGTATCTGATGAAGATGAGGCATATGAATTTACGTTTGGGAAGGAGCACCCGGGACGTGTAAGAGGAATGGGGTTTGGCGTGGTTCCATCTCAAATACGTAAGCGATCACGTGTTTCGGGATCATCTTCAAACAATTCTGGTCCTACACAAGCTGAGTACAATACCCTTAAAGAAGAACTTGACACCATAAAGACACAGATGGCAACAATATTGCAGCATATTGGTGCTCCAATGCCCCCTAATTTGAACTCAAATCAGGTAAATATTGGGTCATAAGTTCTTTGAGAATTTCTGTATGTAATTGGCATTTTGATCAGCTCAACTGTTTTTTTTTGTTTTGAATAGTTCAAGTAATTAGCATTTTCTATTTACCATTTTAAATAGCCAGATAGGCAGCACCTTCTCAAAATTTGGCCAAGCTTTGACAATTTGGAATTAGGATAATGTCTCTGTCTATCTTTGCTTTCTTATTCAGCCATTAAAAGTCACAAATTCAAGCATGCATGGATTCGTTCCTTTTAATTTTCAGAATATGGTTTCTTCTTTTTGGCCATTTCAAATTATGATTGATGTATTGTTTAGTTTGACATGAATGTAAATTATTTTATAATTAATAGATTTATGATAATTATTGTCTTCGGAAAAATTGTACCAATATGCATCAGTCAAAAAAGAATCATTAGTGTAGTCATAAGCGCTTCATCATGATAACATTCTATCCAATATGCTTGATCTAACTGAGACGTTTTGCAGCCATAATTTTATTGGCTGAATGGATTTGTTGGTGTGTGGATTAGTTGGTGTGATTGGAACAAACCCTCCGCCAGTCCCACTCTTTTGCCCCTGTATGTTGTTCCCCTTTTTCCACTATGCCATATGCTTAATTTGTATGTTGCTGAAAATTTGCAATTCTTTGTTTACAGAGGCCAATTTGGTAAGCTTTTCTTCTATCAATCTGCAATATGGGAACTGTTATGTTGTTTAAGTGGTAAACTTAGTGATGTGTCTGCAGAATTATTGTTATATGTAATTATGAGATTCAGTAGGAGGCTTTAGGGATGGGATTGGGCATGAGATTTGGAGAGATTCAGCCCTCTCGAATGTGCTGGAGTTATGTGTTTTCCTTTTGAGTCCTTAGTGACATTGTCTTTCAATTTGTATTTGTTTTTCAGTTATAATATGCAGAAAATCAGGACTTATTCTGGGCCAAAAACCACTTGTTTCCTTTAAGTTCTTGTTAATTTAGATTGGATCTAACAGTGTGTGAAAGTGGTGCTAGTATTTGTGCTTGATTGCATCTTGACCATAATATTGGACGACAACAAGTTATGAGTGCCACCAAAGCTGGAAATGTGTAATAAAAGACTTCACTATTCTCTCTTGCATTTTATAAATTGCAATTATTCTTGTTTACCAGTGATGCCTACTTTTATCCATGAGTATGATTGTTTTGAAGAAGAATATATAGGCTATTAATGTCTCATTACTGTTAATGTATTTTTAAAAGACTATATATATGCTTGGATTAACTTTATTGTTCTATAATAACAATGTATCCTCAATCTATCATCAGGTTGCAGATTTGGGTTCCCCAGGACTTAAAAGATCTTCACATGCTAGCCATACTCCACATGTTGAAGTACCAGATTTATCACCTTGGGTTCCACCTCCACCACCTCAGCCTTGAATATTATTTTGGATTTTATCATAGGCTTAGGAGGTTGTTTTATGTTGAAACAATTATGGATTACTGTTTTAAGGATTTGTTTTAAAGGTTTGAGACATGATAATTAGTGTGTGGATATAACATATGTTTCTATTCTAATATAAAATTTAATGTCTTTTTCCTTTTTTTGAATTCTCATTTTTTATATATATCTATCTATACAATAATTATTATGTCTAATAAAATGTGTAATGTTTACTCTATTTTATTAATAATTTATTTTTATAATAATTTGCTTTTTGAAATTGTATATTAACAAAAGGTGCTTATAAAATTAAAATAAATGGACAATATATGTAGGCTACAAAAATAATAACAAAATTTGTCAAAAATAAAATGTTTACCAAAACACATATTTAAAAAAATGTTTAATACTGAAAAAAATAAAAAACCGTCTCAGTATTTTCAGGCGGTTAGCTTCAAAAATACTATAACTGAGAATAACTGCCTCAATATACAATTTACATGCGGTTTAAATAACTGGCTTAAAAAACATTCCCAGGCGTTGTACACAACCGCATGAAAATTACTTCTTCAGGCTCTCTTCAAAACCACCAAAATATGTCCAAATGAGGCGGATATCAAAACTGCCTCAGATTAACATTTTCAGTCGGTCATGATAACCGCCTCCGATAGCATATCCCAGGCTGTACGTATAGATGCCACTACTGGTTATCTTCAGGCACTCGAAACAACCGCCTCACTATATAGTTTGCAGGTCATTAAAGAACCGCCTCTGTATCCGCCACCCTATTACATTCTAAGGCGGTCAAACTTGCCGCCTCCACTACCGCCTCAGTAAACCATATAAAGGCAGTTTCAAGAACCGCCTTAGTTTATATATTACATGCAGTTAATGAAACCGCGCCTGAAAGTAGTTTTGAGGCGGTATCTCCAGCGGTTGATGGAAACCGCTTTCGTTTGACTCTCGGCGGAGCTAACTGAGTCGGTTGCGAAGCCGCCTATCTCGATAATCACAGGCGGTTGAAACCGCCTTTAAATGCCCATAAAACCGCCCCTGAATGCAGCTTTTCTTGTAGTGATTGTTTAATACGTCAAATAAATATTAAGACATTGTATAATAAATCAATTAAAATCATTGTATTGTATCTTTCTGTGTCTTAATCTTTTTGTTATGATGGTTAACTGGAAAATTAAAATCTTCTTCATTGATGGCATCAGATTTTATAACCAACGGTGACAACAAAGTGAGAGAAACATCAGCAACATCGGTACTATCACATGTTTGACTCTTATCATCTTGGTAAGACATTAAAATTGTATAAAAATATGAAATGTTATACAAATAACGTAAAAAATATTTAATTGAAAAAATATGATTTTAATTTAAAGATATCGCAGTTGATCTGCTGATATTACATCAGTGTCGCAAGCATTTTCAAATACTCCTTGATCCTGAAAATTAAAATATTTATAAAACTAATATAAAGTAATAATATGATGCGATAATAGTTTCACTGCAGCAATAAATATATTGCTTCTTTGACCAATATATATATATATATATATATATATATATATATATATATATATATATATATATATAGGGAAACATTTCTGCAGCCACTTTAGTTAAGGTTGTCTACAGCTACCCATTTACGACCGGTCGTACATTAAAAATGCATTTTCTCTCTCCGTCGCGTCAGCCGACAGTGTCTGAGGAGAGAGAAAAAAAGAGCAGCTTTATTGTTATAACTAAGTCCGACCGGTCGTACTTAGTTAAAAATGGTAGGTATAAATAACTTTATCTAAATTGACTGTAGAAATACAAAAATACTTTTCCTGTATATATATATATATATAGGCAGGATCCTTTGACACCAGTGTCAAATTTCAAATTTGACACCTCACCTGAGAGCCATTAGATCAAAATAGATCAACGGTGTCACATGCTTACAAATCATAGTCGTTGATCTTTTTTGATCTAACAACTCTTAGAGATGAGGTGTCAAATTTAAAATTTGACAATTTAAAATTTGACACTAGTGTCAAAGAATCTTTCCTCATATATATATTGCTTCAAAAGTCTTACAGAATAAGTAATATTTAATAGCTTATTTAATTACTTCATATAGCAATAAATATATTGCTTCATCCCACAAAAATATTGATTACTTTCCAAATAAAGTATAATTATATTAATAAATTAATAATATTATTAATTACCCAAATTGTCTAGTGATTGACAGAGACAATTGCCTATTTAGATGCTGAAAGAATAAGAAGTTCACACATATTCACTCTGATTGCACAGTTTCTTAGCAATTTTTTAGTACTTTCCTTTCACTTTTTTAGTTCATCCATCCTCTTGCATTTTCTAGGCTTCAATTACCCATCTTATTCTAAAAAAGATGGCAAACTTGAAGCACCTATCTCTCATATGTGGCATTCTTGTTCTATATACAATTTCAGTGCCACAAGGTCACTGCAGAGTTTTTCAGCCAAATGATGTGAAACTCATAGAGCAAACATGCAAGCAAACAGTGGATCCTAATCTTTGCATTAAACTGCTTGAAGCAGACCCTCATAGCTCAAGTGCAGATGTAAGAGGCCTAGCACTAATCTTGCTGAATGTGGTCAAAGCCAAAGCAAATGATACAATGAACAAAATCAATGAACTTCTTAAAGGGGGTGGCGATAAGAAAGCCTTGAGTTCATGTGCTGACAACTACAAAGCAATTTTGGAACATGATATTCCACAAGCCATTGAAGCTCTGCAATCTGGAAAACCCGAGGTTGCTGAAATTGGGGCAAGTCATTCTGTTGTTGAGGCCATGTCTTGTGAGTATGGCTTCATTGCAATATCACCACTCTTCAAGGAGAACTATGACGTGAGTGATGCAGCAGAAGTGGCATGGGAGATTATCTTACAAATGCTTTAGATACTCACAAAGAGATGATATGCCATGAAATGTTACAATGTTTGTCTGATAAGAGTTCTATCCCTTTGATAATTTCATCTAAATATAAAAAGTATCATGATAGTTTTATTTTTGTGTTTAAAGTTTCTCGTATTTTTAAGATAAAATTATGTGTACTGTAGCAATACATCTCACAAGTCCTAATATTAGTAAAATGTAGCAATATTATCTCAAAAAGTCCAAGTATTAGTAACTCTTCAGTTACTAATATTTAGACTTATAATACTATTGTTATATGTACTTAAAAGATAATTTTACCGTCAACAACATAATAAATATTAAATTCTTTATTTTTTTTATTCTTTCTATGTCAGTTCTCAGTTCAACGGCCAAAACTTAACAAAATAAATTGATTACTTTTGTTTTAAACGACTATACTTTTATATAAAATAATGTGTTAAATATTTTTTACGTTATATAAAATAAAATTATCTCCTACACTTATATAAAAGAGTGTGATTGAAGTTCATGTTTTATTTTTTTTTATTTTTTTCACATGACGTTATATGAGTCTCACTTATTTTTTTTTTTGGATATTAAGTCTCACTTTATATGTGTATAAAAAATAAAATTATTTTCATGAAATCCATTAAATGCCAAAATGAATTGATGCTCGAGGGTACCATCCTAATACAAACCGCGCAATGAATCATTACTTGGGGAATTGTATTAGTACAATTCTGGGTGTACATCCCAAATTTCACTTTCTTTCTTTCTTTTTTTGGTACAAAAATTTCACTTTCTTTACTATATATCACTAATTCACTACTCCTTTACTTTAAGTAAAAGTTTGTCTATCCGAAATTTTATCCTCTTCGTTTCCAGATAACACTATACCCTCACTTATATAAATTTAATTAGGATCATAAGTAACTATATCTAATAATTAAGATAGTAAATAACATTATTATTATTTTAAAGATTGATATTAAATTTATTTAATTAAATAATAATTAATGACATAAATAATTTTTATTTATAAAAAATGGAAATGTCAAATGTCAAATTTATTAAAATAATAATAATTTGATAATTGATTTTTCTTTTTTCTTCGTCTAAAAAAATTTAAATATTTAATAAAGTCTGATGACTTTAAAATTCTACCGGTTTCTCACACTACGATTCTTTTGCAAATAAAAAAGAAACTATCCCAATAAAAAAATAAATAGAATCACGACACAAGAAAGCTAAAGTATATACGTCATTTGATGCTAACTCTTTTTTTATCCATGAGAAATATTTTTGCATATCATTGGAAATCGGTCACTAATATAAAAATAGGGTGAATTAGTCATTCATCCAAAATTTAATTACTTTCATATTTCCATTCATAATTAATGTCATAAATAGTAATTATTATATAATAATTAAGATTATAAATAATGTAATTATTATTATTTTCAAAAATAAGATTATATTTATTTAATCAAATAATAATTAAAATGGTAAATAATTCTTGGCTTTAATATTTCCACCGTGAATGTAGATAAATTATCTATATTTATTCTCAAAACGACATCGTTTTGGATCGAAAAATTAAAAAATTATAATAAAAAAGACTATTATAACCCTGAAATAAATTATAATTATAAAATACCTTAATTCTCGTCTCAAAACGAAGTTGTTTTAGGCTCAATGTAGATAAATTATCTACATTGACAGTGAAAAAGTGACACTATAATTCTTAATTATTTATTAATAATTATGATTTGATAACCGTTTTTTTATTTTTGTCGAAAGAACTCAAATGTTTTACATCATTTAGAGACATTTTAAAATATTTTTATAATTATAATAATATTTCACAAATAACTTTAATAATTATGTAATAACTCATCCAACTTAAATAATATTAAATATTTTAGTTCTTGCAGCTAAAAGAAAAAGGAAAGAGAAAAAATCAATCATCAAGATATAATCTTTCAGAATGCCTTTAAATTTTAAAAATGTAAAATTTATTGTTAATTATTATATTTTGGAGATTGATTTTTTATCTTTCTCCACTGGATGAATTCAAATATTTGATGTTATTTAAGTTATAGAGAGTGATATCGTACTCAATAATTATTTGAATGGCATAGTTATTAATATAATATTATTATAATTACGAAAGGATTTTATTAAATGATATAAAATATTTGAATTCTTCCAAAAAAAAAAGAAAATCATCTGATCATCTTTATTTATAAAAAATTTAAAGCTAAAAATATATTATTTTTAATTGATTTATAATTTATAAATTACTTATTAATTTTTTTTATTTCTAGAATTATCTTCTTATTTTATATGTTGTATTTTTTGTTTTTTATTCTATGAATTAATTACATATAAAAATTATTATATATTTTAATAAAAGTTTTAAACTAAAACTTAATAACGAATAATGAGTAGACTTAGCTTTTTCATCAAAATATAACACAAATATTATTTTGTTTAATGGAATTGATAAAATTATAAATGATTAAAATACTAACATGTTCATATATATATATATATATATATATATATATAATATTTTTTGATGAATTATTTATAAATTATTTATAGAGGATATTTAAAACCTATAATTTATCAAGATGAATCAAATATATATAAATGATTCATCTTTTGACACTTTGTTATAGAGCGTAACGTGCACGTGCAGATTTAAAACCATTATGTATTCTCGTAGGAATACATAATCAAACATGATAGATATATAAATAATACAGATAAGCATTGATCATATCAGTAGACAACACATATACATGACGTGTATCATGTCATAGGTGTCCTCGCTGAGCATTAATTTAGGAAAAGTTCATATCTATTTTAGATTTTCTTCAAATAACATTTTTTTCATTTTAAATATTTATTTTTCAAAGGTTTTTTTTTTCAATTGAGTTTACCACTCAAAGTATAACTTTTATCCATAAAAAAAATTAATAAATTTCTCATTTACTACTGTTAATTTTCAAATCTTTTATATTTATTACTTTATAGTTATTAATTAATACTGTTATTATTTCGTCGAATAAGAAAATCAATCCCTTAGTATAATCTTATCGGATAGCAACTATTAATTAATGGTGATTGGCTTATTATTTGACTGAATTGAATTGCATTAATCTAAATGTTTTAAATTTAATATATCCTTTTTTATCAAAAGAAATGCTCTTAATAAATTTTAATATAAAATATTCATTACCAAATCAGGAGGAGTTAAATTTTAATAAATTTTAATATACTCTTATAGTCTTATCCATAATGTACAGTGACTAAGAATGCTATTAAATGTAATTAATTAATGATATCTTTAATTACTTCAAGAAATCTTACACAATAAGTACTATTTAATAGTGTAATTAATTACTTTTGAAAGCAATAAAGATATTGCTTCATCCTACAAATTTTTTGATTACTTACCAAATAAAATATTATTGTATTAATAAATTAATAATAAGATTAATTACTCAGATTGTCTTGTGATTTGACCGAATTTGGAGACAATTGCCTATTTAAATGCTGGAAGAATAAGAAGTTTACACATGTTCACTCTGATAGCAGTATACAATATCAGTTTCTTAGAATTTTTAAGTTCTCTCCTTTCACTTTTTCAGTTCATCCACCCTCTTGAATTTTCAAGGCTTCAGTTATCTATCTTATTCTAACAAAGATGGCAAACTTGAAGCACCTATCTCTGATCTGCAGCATTGTTGTTCTAGCTATAATTTCAATGCCACAAGGTCACTGCAGAGTTTTTCAACCAAACGATGTGAGACTCATAGAGCAAACATGCAAGCAAACACCACATCCTGATCTTTGCATTAAACTCCTTGAAGCAGACCCTCATAGCTCAAGTGCAGATGTCAACGGCCTAGCACTAATATTGGTGAATGTAATCAAAGCCAAAGCAAATGATGTCTCAAACAAAATCAAGGAACTTCTTAAAGGGAGAGGGGATAAGAAAGCCTTGACTTCATGTGCTGACAACTACAGTGCAATTTTGATAGGGGATATTCCAGAAGCCACTCAAGCTCTGCAGTTTGGAAACCCCAAGTTTGCAGAAAATGGGGTTAGTGATTGTACTGTTGAAGCCACCTCTTGTGAGGAGGGCTTCAATGGGAAATCACCTCTCACCAATGAAAACAATAGTATGCGTGATGTTGCAGACGTTACAAGGGCTATTGTTCGATTATTGCTTTAGATTCTCAAATAGATGATAGGCATCGATGTTAATTACGATATTTGTCCAATAAAAATGCTATCACTTCGAGAAATGAATTACTATTTACGCGGGTATGATCCCAATTTAAAATACTACATTCACCAACGAACAATTTAAATTTTTTCTTCCCTTCCTTTTGTGTTTTTAGATTAGTTCCTACGTATGATTTATCATAAATACTCATATGATACTAGGGATTCAATCTCTACTGTTGCACGACAGATTATCGGATTCCTGCAGATAAAATTCTCTATGGGGTCATTACTTTTTTTAAAAAAAATTAAAAAGTCTAACACGCTTCTCCATGAGTTAATAGAAAAAATGATTTCGTGGGGTTTCTTTTAGGTTTCTAAAACCTAAGGAAGAACAAGACAGAGATAAAAGAAGAGAAAGAAATTTCGTTTATTGATCTTGAATGAATGAATCCATAGTTCTTTACAGTTCCTATTTATAATCCTTCCAATATAACCAATTGACAACTACACACGCACGTGTAGCTTAACTAACTAACCGACTAATAAGGACATGCAACTGTACACGTGGAGTAACCAACTAACGGAGCATTACAAATGGAAGCATGAAGTATAAGTCACGCTACAAAGTCTGTTAGCATAGATGAACGCTTCCTACTCCTCGTGGACCTTCGCATCGTAACATTGCCCTCTCCTTCAACAACAACCTTGTCCTAAAGGTTGAGGGTTGGGTAACAACGTAGCAAGTCGGATTCCCCCTCCCACGAAGCATCTTCTGGGACTGTATTGGACCATTGAACAAGAAACTCTCGGACAGATTGGCCATGACAATCAACTGACCTTGTGTCTAGAACGGCAACAGGAACTTGAACAGGCTTGTTATCCATAGCTAAGGGTGGAAGAGGATTGGATACCACTGGTTTGGGACCAACACAAGGTTTCAATTGTGAAACATGGAACACTGGATGGATTTGGCTTCCAAGAGGCAATTGCAATTCATAAGCCGTCTTACCTAAAGCACGCAAGACCTCAAATGGACCAAAAAATCTTTTAACAAGCTTGTGATTAGATCTTTTTTCCACAGTAACTTGCCTATAAGGTTGCAGACGTGCCCAAACCAGATCACCCACTTGAAAAGAGCGTTCCTTGTGATGTTTATCATACTGGACCTTCATACAGTTCTGAGCTCTTTGTAAATGAAGTTTGAGCTGAGCTAAGACTTTATTTCTGATCTGCAACATAGAATCAATGACCTCCAGCTTAATTAACCCTCTCGGATAAAATGGGATCATGAGAGGTGGTTTGCCAAATACTGCCTGGTAAGGAGACATAGCTATAGCTGAGTGGGTTGCTGAATTGTAGTGATACTGAGCCCAACACAAAAACTTACTCCAGGAACGAGGTTGATCTCCACAAAAAGAGCGCAAGTATTGCTCCAGGTAACGATTGGTCACTTCTGTTTGACCATCAGATTGTGGATGGTAGGAAGAAGTTGTTCTTAAGGTAGTACCACTCAATTTAAAAAGGTGCTTCCAAAATTGACTCAAAAAGATGCGATCCTTATCAGTTAGAATAGAACGAGGAAAGCCATGTATCTTAACTACCAAGTCACAGAATAAGGTGGCTACTGTAAAGGCAGTATAAGAAGTAGGTAAGGAACCAAAGTAAGCAAATTTAGACAATCTGTCTACTATAACCAAGATAGTGGTTAAGCCATTCGAAGGAGGAAGACCAGTAACAAAATCCATAGAAAGCTCCTAAAAAATGCCTTCAGGAATTGGAAGAGGTTGCAGCAGCCCAGCTACTTTGGAAGGTTCATATTTCACCTGTTGACAGATGTGACAATGTTGTACAAACTGTTTGACATCCTTCCGCATTGATGGCCAATGGAAGGTGGCTGGTAGTCTCAACAGGGTTCGTAAGACACCAGCATGTCCTCCAATTAGAGAAGAATGAGCCTCTTTAATCAGCACAGGCACTAAGGATGAGGAGGAAGTAAGGAGATATTTACCTTTGTAAAAGATAATACCATCTCGAATTGTCATATCAGGATCATGATTCGGGTTTTCCTGTAATTGTTGATGCAGAGTAAGTAAATGGGGATCTTGTAAATTTTGACTCTTAATCTCAGCAAGCAGATCAAATTCAGGTTCAGAAAGGGATACACACACGGCACCCTCCTCATCAAACACTCTAGATAAAGAGTCAGCCACTGTGTTAGCATGGCCTGGTTTATATTCTATATGAAAAGAATATCCCATCAGCTTGCACAAATATTTTTGCTGTTCAGCCGTGTGAATAGTTTGAGTGAGGAGTTCTTTAATGCTTCTATGATCAGTTCTGATAATAAATCTGGTCCCAAGCAAATATTGTCTCCATCTTTTCACATCAGCAGTGATAGCATAAAGTTCTCTGATATAAGTAGAAGAACTAGCTAATCTCGGTCCAAGCTTTTTACTGAAGTAAGCAATAGGTTTTTCACCTTGGAGTAACACAGCCCCCACACCAAAATTCGATGCATCAGTATCAACAACAAATATCTCCTCGAAATTGGGCAGCTGCAATACAGGTGTATGAGACATAGCAACCTTTAATTCCGAGAAAGCTGTATCAGCTGCTGGTGTCCATTGGAAAACAGATGATCCTTTTAATAGATTTGTTAAGGGAAGAGCTAAGGAAGCATAACCTTTCACAAATCTTCTGTAATAACCAGTTAGCCCCAAGAATCCCCTCAATTGCTTAATAGTTTTGGGAGTAGGCCATTGAAGCATGGCTGAAATCTTCTTAGGATCAGCAATAACCCCACTATCAGTGACCACATGGCCCAAATATTCGATAGACCTCTGTCCAAAAGCACATTTAGACAACTTAACCACAAAAGCATACTGCTGTAAAGTAAGGAGAGCTAGTTTCAAATGCTGAACATGCTCCTCAATAGTTTTACTGAAGACTAAAATGTCATCAAAAAAAACTATAATGAATCTCCTGAGATAAGGTTTGAAGAGATGATTCATGATCGCTTGAAAAGTGGCTGGTGCATTTGTCAAACCAAATGGCATGACCAAGAATTCAAAATGACCATCATGTGTCCTAAATGTTGTCTTGTGAGTGTCAGCAGGCAACATCCTAATTTGGTGGTATCCCGCTCTTAAATCCAATTTAGAAAAAATAGTAGAACCCCCTAGCTCATCCAACAATTCATCAATAGTAGGAATAGGGAATCGATCTTTAATGGTGACTGCATTAAGAGCTCTATAATCAATGCAAAGCCTCCAAGAGTTGTCTTGTTTTCTCACTAACAAGACTGGTGAAGAGAATGGACTATGAGAATGTTGGATGAAACCCGAAGCTAGAAGCTTAGAGACCTGTTTTTCAATTTCAGATTTTTTACCATGACCATATCTGTATGGTTTAACATTAACAAGTTTGGTACCTGGCTCTAAGTGGATGGAATGATCCAATCCTCTAAAAGGTGGCAATCCACTAGGAAGTGCAAACACCTGTTTGTAAGGCATGACAGCCAGCCCACTCTTGGGACAGAATTGTATTCAATTTAGCAGAGACATCAGTGGGATTATGACCTTGCAAGACAATTGAATTTCCTTCCCACTAGGACTCCATTGACTTACTGATATAATCATGAGTAACCTTTCCCAGCCGTTCTAGCCATGGCATACCCAAAATGATGTCTATATCAGATAAATCCAGAACCCACAGATCACAGACAAACTTATGACCTTGAATCACTAATGGTACCTTGAGACATTTTTTATCAGAATGCATAACATCCCCATTACCCAGAAACACACGAATTCGGTGAGAATGTGATATAGGCAAGGCTAGTTTCACAGCTAACTGATGTTGTATGAAATTATGGGTGCTCCCTGAGTCAACTAAAATAGAGAAATCCATACCTGCCAATGTTGAACTAAACATCAAGGCACGGTAGTGAGTAGTATCCCTCAAGGTATGAAGTGAAGCATCCTTTGCTTCTCCAACAGAATTATCAACTTGCCAAACAATTTGTTCCTCCTCTACTGCCTGAGCAACAACATCATCCTCACCAAACAATAACATCAATTTATTTTTGCAAATGTGCTTAGAATTCCATTTTTCATCACATGTATAGCAAAGGCCCAATTCTCTCCTCTTGTGTAAATCAGCATTCAACACACGTTTCATTGGGGTAGGAGCTGGTAAGGCCAATCTCTGTGTATTCGAAATTCCAGAAGAATTTCCAGAATGAGGGATAGGATTATTGGGCAACACAGAAGAGCTATCTAAGCCAGACACAGGTTTCTGAAAAAATTTCTTAGGTGCACCTTGGAACGAAGTTTTGAGATCAGTAAAATGATCATCATAAGCCATAGCTAGCTGAATTGCTTGGTGTAAGGATATAGGTTCCTTTAATTGGATCGCACTACGTAATTCAGATTGGAGACCCGAAACAAAAAAGTTCATTAAAAGATCATCATCTAGTTCAGGAATTTGATTAACCAATGCCTCAAATTGTTGAATATATGCACGTAGGGAAGATGTTTGAGTCAATTTGGATAAAGCTCCTTTTAAATTTGTAAAGCCAGACATGCCAAAACGCTGGCGAAGAGCAGAAACAAAATCAGACCATGCACGAGCCTTACCATTGTTGAAAGTCCATTGAAACCAAGAGGCAGCCATGCCTTCCATCTTCAACCCAGCCAAAGCAACCTTTGTTTCCTCGGGAATCAACTGAAGAGTAAAGAACAACTCTGCTTTAAAAATCCAGTTGTTAGGATCAGTACCATTGAAAACCGGTATCTCCATGCGAACCCTCTTGAGTAAGGAACGATGATCCATGGAATCTGGTTTGGTGTAATTGTGCGAAACAGGAGAATTATTGGTGTGTGAATTACCATGCTTAGGCGTTTGATTAGCCATAATCGTTTCCTGCAATTGCTGCATCTGTAAAACCAGTAAGGAAAACTGGTTCCTGGTTTCATTAGCCTGAACCGTCGCTTGCATGCGAAG